CCTCTGCCTCCCAGAGAGCTAGGATTACAGACATGAGCCACTGTGCCCGGCCTCTCTCTAATTCTTGATAATTCTTATTATCGTGCCACTCTGTTCAGAGCACATTATCGTCACTAGTCCGTGTAGGACCTTTTAGTTTGTTTATTTCTTCTCATTCTTCTGCTATTTGATTCCCACTCCTAATTCCCTTTGTCTGCCAGCCCAGTTATAAGCACCTATTCTCATGTATTTGCTATCTGTGTTCTTACGTACACTGAGTTCTTGTAAGACACGTTGTGTGGGTCGGTGTGTTCTGTTTAATTGCATTGCTGGTATTATGCTGTATGAACATTGCTTTCTTCGTTCCTAACTGTTGTGTAGGATTCTGCAGCTTGCAGCTACCTTATTTCAATTTTCTGTTTCCTTGTAGGTAGGCCCTGAGTTGCCTTTGCCTCCTCTGCCACACCAAGTACTTTGTCCACTCTGGACGCATGCAAGAATTTGGCTGCAATATAAGTTCCTGCCCCCACAGTCTCATCAGTGCTTGATAAGATCCCCCCTTCCCATTTGGTCATTGATGTTTTCATTTGCATTTGTCTGACCACTAGCAATTTAGGAACTTCCTTATGTATTTTTTGGTCCCTCAGCCTTGCCCCTTTTGTGAGTTGCTTGTCTTTTGATCATTTTTCTTTAAGTTTCATAACCTTCCTGCCTATCCCACCCCTCAGAGTTCTTTGCAGATCTTGATATTCATTCCTAGATTTTAGACATTGCAGATACCTTCTAGTCAGTCACCTGTTAACATTTTTTCATGATACCCTTCAAACAGAGTTTTCAAATTTTTTTATGTTTTATTGTACTCAAACTTGTGGATTTTTCATAAGGTCAGTATTTGGGTCTTGAAATTTTTCTCAACAAAAACATTCCCCTGTATTTTTCTTCTGTTTGTTTTTTTATCACTTACATTTGAGTCTTTAGTGACTACCAGGTCCACTGTTGCGTATAAAGTGATGTTAAAGGGTCCGGTTTATTTTTCTCCCGTCTCATGAGCCAATTTTTCCAGCAATATCTAGGAAACAATCCATTCTTTCCATATTGCCTGTGGTTCTAGCTTTATCATATTATCAGCTTCCCTTAAATACATGTGCTGTCAGCCTTCTGTATCTGAGGGTTCTGCATCCAAGTATTGGATCAAGAATATTCAAAAAGATAAATAATAAAT